ACACACACACACACACACACACACACACACACACACACACACACACACACACACACACACACACCAAAAACCTGTACAATAAGTTAGCTTCAGGCTCAGGCCGCACTTGCAAAATAGATCTGTGATCTCAATGGGATTGTCCTGGTTAAATAATGATAAAACTATTGCAGGCCACATAAAATTCCTTGTCGGGCCACATTTGGTCCACAGGCCTTAACATGGACATGTGATATKGGAGATATTTTGAACAAATGTTATTTCTGGATCTTCTGTATTTTTTATTTTATTATTATTATCATTATTTTAGTAAACGTAGAGAGCTAGTTGCATTTGCAGCGAAGTGCACTCATCCAGTTCTCGCTGATGTTTTCAGAGCTGACAGATTCCAGCACTGGACTGATCAGTTTTTTTTGTTTGTTTGTTTGTTTCTCGCTCTGTCTTTGTGTTTGCACAGTTTGTATGGAGTTCTTGTTTATCTAGATGTGCCTCTTGTGTTTTGCGTCAATGTGCATCCGTTGATTCTATTAAGGAATCAGACCGCGAGCGCTTTTGTTGTCCTCACCGGTCTAGAGGGCCTGGCCACCCATAATGCAATGTTCTCATTATTCAGTCTGCAGGGCCAGAAGGGACCGGGAGACAGACTGTCATTTTATTGTAGCTCTCTTTCTTTTTATAGGTGGAAGGTAGACGGGGGAGAATGTGACGAGTCGGCGGCGAAAAGGCAGAGGGTTAGAAAGATCAACAACGCAGGACAGAAAGGAGAAATTAATTAGAGCTGAGAAAGGACGAGAGGGGAAGAGAGAGCGAGAGAGAGGACTCTACACATTTTATAGCAGGCAGGGAGGTGACACATAAGCAGACACTCTGACAAGGAAGTCACACTCAGAGGAAAGTAACAAGGATGTCAAGGAAAACAAAATGAGCATATATTTACTGTATTACCTTCATGCAGCACATCTAAATCACTCCAAAATCAAATAGCTACAGGAAATTTTATTAAAGGACCAACGTTCACGCCCGCCACTTTTCAAGCCGGAGTTGAAAACCAAGATCAACATTTGCTGAAAAATGATAGAGTTGTAGCCAATTTGATCAAACCTTGAAAGTCTGACCAGTTGTATTTGGCGAGAATCAGTCTCAAAAGTCTCTGGTGGTCTCTAAAAGTGGCTTCTGATTCCCTTTAACCCTTGACTTGAGCCTTTTTACTCTCATTTTAAAGAGACAGTACAGTGGTTTGTCATTCCTTATTTGGCAACCCTGTTTGGCATGGAAAGAACAGTAGATCCATGTGTAAATTATTATTATTATTATTTATAATTTTTTTTTTTTTTTTTTTTTTTTTTTTTTTTTTTTATTTTTTTTCATGGTGATTTGCCACAATCAACACTGGAAAAAGGCTAACATTTTCAGAGATGTTTCATGTGTAAACAAGGCCTTAAACATTTGCATTGAATGCAATTTTCTGTCTGTTTGTAAAGCAGCTGCTATGCAAATTGCTCAAAGAACACCAGATGCTTGGTTGACTGATCCGTGAATAAGAAAAGGGTGGTATCAGACCTGATGTTTGCATCTACGGGCCTAGTATGATGCGCTTGAGGATGCTGTCGGGGAATTTATGTAATTTTAYTCKTCTGAAGGCAAAAATAAGGAGCTGTGAGAATGTRTTATTGTGACTGAGTGTGAAAACTTAAAGAAAACAAACAAAAAAGCTTATTACTGCAACAGAAGAATACAGTGTAGAGTTTAAATCTGTTACTCAGCGTCTACAAAAGAATCAGGAGTCTGCACCTGCTGGGAGTCTCTTGGACTTGCTATTAAAAGACGTCCAATTGCTTATCTTCGTGCGGTCCTTATATAGACTGTAGGATCACATTCACACACTGAACTGAGTCACTTCCTCAGGGAAGATTTGTGTAAAGCATTTAGTTACCCAAGACGTAACACTTTCAGTCATTATGTAGCATAAGCATAACTAATACACTATACATGCATACTTATACGGTTATTTGAACATTTTACCTCAAAAGCGCAACAAGCTGTTGATTTATTCTGAAGAGTTTGAACAAAACRTGGTGCACAAGTTGAAGATGATGCTTGATCGCTTGTGTTGGAAGGATTTTAATGAATCTCTTAGAAAGTAATCATTGGATGGATCTTAACAGCTGATTAATTTTGGAGCTAACTAATTTCTGATGTTTGTCAAAAAMCCCTAATAACACAAAAATGTTTACAACTCAGTCAGTTCTACAGATAYTGAGGTAAACTTTGGTGTGGTAGTAGATCCCTGACACATATCCTGACCACTGGATGTCTAACCTAAGGCAACCGTGTCTCTGATCAAACCAAACAGAGCAAAAACAGAAACCAGAGTGAACTTGGAGAGCTTTAGTTGCTTGGAGCACTGTGAGTGTCATAAAAGCCAGAGTTGTGTTGATTTTGTTTGTACCCTTCTCTTTGTTGTAGGCTTTTTAGCCAAAGAATGTGGTTTCTATGGGTGACCTAAAGGTTGCCTCCAGCTGATGACTTCAGACTCCTYGCTTTTTGTATTGCAACTTGGAAGGGTGCCTTTTTGGACTGGACAGTCACAAAATTAAAATTCAACGTGTTTTTTCTTTGTTTGTTTTTGTCTTTACTGGGGGAAAAAATCCAGTCAACATTTAGCCCCGTACGTCACATGATTTCAACGTAGTCGCTGCTTTTATCTCAGATTAATGTGYGTGTTACAAGAGAGAGAATGCCTTTAAAACAAGCTTACGTGAGCTCTGAAACTGACAAGAAAACCAGACGGAAAGAAAAAGGAGTGGTAATAAATCTTGTGTTCCTGTCAGGATGGCATGTGGGGTTCCCTCCAGTCATCCACTCAAAAGTACTTAACATTTTCTCCCTGAAAGCCATGGAAACACTGGGGTCCTTGAAGGTTTGTAGGATAGTTACCTTTTATTTGTTGTGATAGTAGCCTAATTGGCAATCCCAGTTTAAATGTATACCAGTAAACTGAAACAGAGTCATGAGCTTGTTTTCAATGAATCAGAAGTGGTTTTGGTGTTTTTTTTTAAACATGACGCATAATGTTTAAAAGAGGAACTGGGGCATTTTGTAATACAAATCAGWACAAGTCATGCATTCTCAAATTAGTGCTGAAAACATAATGGAAAAAAATGGAAAGCTTAGCAATTCTTGAAATGCGGATCACCTAGAGTGCTTTAAATTAAAATCATCTGATATAAGACATCCCGCTCAGAATATGTGTGGTGAATGACTGTCAGGCACTACCACATCAGATTTTAGTTCAATAGCAGTGAAGCTGACTGAGTTACAACCATTTTGTGTTGATTAGSTGTGGTGACCATTTTGAACCAGACTGACTTTGCAGATTCAGTTGTACATAGATGTACTATCAACAATTAGCTTCTGCAAGCTTCATTAACCATTCTGATGCCCTTAAGTCAAAAATGATTCATGAAGCCTAAAACTGAGACCTCATGAGTCATTTTGACCCAAGGGCAGCAGGAGGGTTAAATTCCATTCAATGGTTCATGGGATGCTTTGGTATCACACAAACACACACATACACACCGGCAAAACCATAACTGTCCCACTTTACCTTTAGGAAGAGGGCAATAAAGCACCAAAAAACTCTGTATTCTTCATTCATAGTTTTAGGTTCCACTTTCCCACAGCATGTTTATTCTCAAATTGCAAAGATTTTATTAATGATAAAGCAGATTTTACTTTGCAAACAATGCTTTACTTGTATTAACCAAATGTGTTATTTTAATTTGATTTGGTTGCATATTTGTAAACATGTAAATAAAAACATCTAAGAATTCCAAAATGAATTGATTAAATACCTGCATGTTTTAAACATTTATAACATGTTTGTGTGTTTTTTTTAGATAACTTTGTATGTGTGTTTGTGTATGTCTGTGTTTAAAAAAAACAAAATAAAATAAAATTAATCCCTGGTTCTCTGTCCTTGTAACGCTCTCTCACAAAGGAAGTTGAGGTTTGTATGATAACTTTTGGTATAGTGTATGTATTTAAAAACAAGTGCTCTTCTTTCTATGTTGTTACAGAAAAAATAAAAAATAATTTTTTTAATTTTTTAATGTGTTTTAGGAGCCGGGAACGTGGACTCCATCCAAACCCTTCGATCAAGGTGGGTGTATGAATGAGACAAGACTGAGTTTTGATGTTGCACCAGCATCAGTCAATTTAAAACTCAAATCCAATGTTCAAARTTGGATTTTATATTATTGATTGGAGATAAAAAATTGAGGAAATATTTAAGCATTAAAATTTTTATTGCCATAGTTGCTGTGTTTCAGCTTAGCCTACGTGTTATCGGCACAGGCATCACTTTTAACAATGAAAATCTCWTTTTATTATGTTAACTTAGCGAATTCTGGGGACAACAGAATTGTTTTTTGTTAGATTAAAAAATGAAAACTTCATAGTTAGGATTAGAAATCCAAACAAACTGTTAGAGCAGCAACAARTCCTGATTTGAGCATGAACAATAGTCTTGCAAAATGAGAAGTTTATTTCCAAGTTTATAAAAGTGGTGCCYCATGGTCCATTTAAGTGTTCTGAGATGATAACTGTTGATCATTGGAAGATTACCTCCCCCTTGCCCCAACAAAATAAGAGAAAACAAAAGCTGTTCTCAGAGAACACCAGATGTTTTCTGGAAATCCTCTTTGGTTTCTTGGTGAACATTTATAGAAATCTCTTGTTCTGACTATATCTGTAAACTGTTCCCAAAGATGGCTTTAGTACCCCAATGTGGGTTATAAAACACCAAGTAAAGTAAAGTAAAGTAAAGTTTTATTTATATAGCGCCTTTCACAGAAATAAATTCACAAGGTGCTGTGCATTCAGGGAAGGGGGAGGGTGGCAGTTAAGAAACACCCATTCAAGAAGACATACAACACAAACATGGGGGAACAGGTGAAACCGGTCATGCAGCAAACACAGTTGCAGTACCTTTAACAAMAGCTTGAAATACACAAAAGGAAAATTGAGTTAAACAACCCGCGAGAGAGCAAGACAGCTTGGGGGGTGGGGGTGCCATGGGTCAGATAACACTAAAGGGGAGGTAAAATGGGGCAGATTCAGAGGAGTAGGTGACGTTGAGTTGGGGGGGGGGGATGTCTGTGCAAGACCCAACCCTGGGCCCATCCAGAGTCCAGAGTCACATGATGTTATTGTCTCTACGCAGTTCGCTGGAGTTCAGAGATTTTCCTCCTCCTCAGCCAATAGGGGGTCTCCCATCATTTTTTTCACTAAAATTGTTATAAAACCAGTATTCATAAATGATTAAAGTTGGTACTGTGGTGATCAGGGCACTTTGTATTGTCATTATGTCTTTGTTTAATAAGATTAGTAACATTTTGATATTTAAAATGGCAGTAGATGGGGTCACAGATTAACAGTGTCAGTCTGAGGGATGGAAGTTACAAGGTTGGGGGACCACTGCTTTAAGCAACTGTTGACCCTCCAAATATGGCATTGCTGAAAATCTACATTATACATGTTATATATCACCCTCCTTGTTATTTTTTATTATTGTGGTCAAATTAGGATTAAATTTGATTCAAATAAGCTTAATTAAACCAAGACTCATGCTGATAAGCTRTTAGCAGATCAGTTTCTAGATTTGTTCAAATCAGCATTTCAAACCTTTATCTGCTGATATTTTTTACACTCCAACCAGCTAAAAAAAGAAAAAGAAAACAGGAGGATTTGCTATTCTTTGATCATCTCATTTCTATTTGTATTGCAGACAGTAATAATCTCTTGCACTCATCGAGGCACACCAGGACATCCTCTCACTTCTCAGTGGATCCTCCAACACACACAGAGACACACACACTCCCACGCACAAACATACACGTCAAAGAAACAATAGCATTAGATGGTGCGTTGGAGGATGGAGGCAGGATAATCTGCCAGAGCTGCTCAGAGATTACAGTAAGGTTCTTTACAGCAGAGGTCGTTTACTGACTGTTCTACGAGCAGCCGAGGGCTTTTGATCCTGCTCACAGGTGTCCTGCTAAAGGCTGACTTTGGATCAGAATCACCTCGATTATCTGCACCATCAAAGATTCCAACCATCTGCCCAAGATCTAGGCGGGGAAAAATAAATAAAAACCTGCTCTCAGCTGACTCAAGGTCAGTTGGAGGATTTCTGCAGGCACACACATGAGCGTGACGCTCAGCGCAGCTGATGAGAGATCAGAAGTAGCCTCTAAAACCGGTTCCATCTGTTTTTAGCTCTAAGAACGATTAATGGTATTATGGCTGTGAGTGCAGCGCTAGAGAGAGTCAGTGAACAAACAGTGAGGGGTGTAAAGGCACACACACAGTAACACACTACTACAGCTTGGTGAAATCTGTTTATTTAGCAAAAATTAAAAAAATACAATATTTGATGCAAAACACACTCAGCTACTACAACACCAAATTYTAGCTAAAATGACAAATAAATARTCATTGTCTGTTTCGCTWAATAAGTTGGAWATGAGGTAGAGATGTGCGGATCGATACTGAAATATYGATAYCACCGATACCAGAACTTTAGAATCAATACTAAAATCAAAATATCCACTTTGATACTTTAGTCATTTCAGGTAATGTATATTATTAGCARGAAAACAGTGGAAACTAACTAAACTACTGGAATCTTGTCWAAATCATATGCGGTTGGAAGGAACTACTTTTTCTTCCACTYGGATGATGCTGCCTGAGMAGGTACAGTGTCACCTGCTCACTCAGTCAGTAGACGTTACATGTATGGCAGATCATTTTARCAAAAAAATCTGCTTCGTCTGACTGTCTGTAATGCGAGATGGGGGGTGTTCCCAAATTTTTCCAAGCTTTGGCCCCCCAAAGAGTATTAGYTTTTGGCCCATACCAGGAAAGAAAAATGGCAGTATTGAACATCATTATTATGAGGGCCACCTCGAAGTAGATTGACTCCAACAGTTAACCAGTTGWAGATGTGCATTTAGTGAKTACTTTGTGAAAGTTTAGTTTGAATCATTTAATGGTTCATGAGATATTATGCCAATAGAAAGACAAACAAACGCTTGGGCATTTGCATGATTTCTCCTGGTTCATGGTAGCAAGCAATAATAAACAAGAGATGAATGCTTGGAGAAATGTCTTTCTGTTTTGGTTGTGTAACCTCATTTTGTGTGGCCACATTCCCACACACACACACACACACACACACACACACACACACACACACACACAC